CAAAGTAGGTTCAGTATTCTAACTTTGCATTTTCACTGTGATTATCAATCAGTACCAAACTTTTTTGCTGGCGCTAACATATCTGGAAGAGGGGAGGGGGAGGAGCCACTCCACAACGCCTTTGCTCCTCTTCCCTAGCCGAGGCCCAGACTTAGAGCGTTAACAGTCAGACTCGGCACGGGTTACTCTTGCAGAACATACAGCCATTATGCGACTCTTACCGCCTAATCTCTAAGTCTAAGCCTTGGTTGGGGGAAAGAGACACAGAAGCAGTCCTTGACTGACCCCTTCTCCTCCTTTTCAGTTACGTTGGCGCCGTTTTACCACCTACAGGAAGGGGCGGGGGGGGGGAGCAAAGTAATACCAACGTGACTGTACCGATTTACGGAATTTGTTTACAGCTTCTATCAAGTAATTAAGTTGATGTTCGTCTCTTGTATACTAGTCTCATACCCACTTCAATTCTATGTTCCTATGGAACGCATTGAAAAATGGATTAAACGAAAGGTACGTCATTTCATGACAAGGGGTTTTCCACTTTTGGCAGTCTTGTTCACGGGATGGAGGGGCGTGTCGGGCGCGACCTGATGCGGCGCAAACCCATTCTCCACCAGGAGTCGAAGCAGGTAAGTCACAACAATCATTGAAGAATTACTGATGCGAGGGATATGACACATTCTCGCCGCATTCTCACTTCAACACAGGTGGAGAAAGCCTTTGGCGCCGCGCCAAACTTATCCCTCCTGACACGCCCTTTCATCCGCAGCGAACAAGACTTTGAAGGGGTTTCTGCTGCGCTTCGTGTACAGTGAAATGTGTTTGTTTCTGCTCTGCTATGTTTTTTTTGATTTGTTTATTTTTCTCAATTTCAGGTGGCCATTGAACGGCAAGAGAAACTCATCTACGGTGCACGTATGGCAGGCGTTCTTTGTACTTGTAAGTGTCCTATCTTTATTGTTGTATTTTTACTTGTACTACAGGACCACCCCCTACTCACTGTGACCTTTGGCGTGGGTTATGGATTACAGCACTTGCGCAGGAAGACTGCTGTAAGAAATCGGCCTAAACGTCGTAAATCGACAAAGCAAAGCACAGTGAAACACGGCTCCCTTCTACGCCTTCAAAAAATCTTTTATAGGTCTGCTGGCCGAACTCATCCCGCATTTGGCCCTGTTCATCTCACTCGTCGGATCCGTAGCCGGTACTTCACTGACTCTGGTGTTCCCGCCCATGATCGAACTACTCTGCTGCTACTCAAAGTGAGTCAACTTCTAAGATTGCGCCTTTTGCAGTGCCATAATATCCCCCTAATTACTGCATACTCCACGTTGACCACATGGGCGCTGCTGGTTTTGTAATAGTTCTTCGAGTGGGTGGGTGAGTCTCACCTCATCTTCGTAGCCAAGCGGGCTCATCCGTCTTGTGTCTGGCCTCGGGAAGGAGGTGAGGGAGGGAAAGTATTAGTTGTCATACGACCATTCACACCTTTGTGCCATTCCTTTGCAGTACTGGGAGCAGGGCACTTCGTGTCGCTGGGAGAGTGAGCAATTTCACTCCGAATCCCTGCTTTCGTCACGACCCCCACCCCAATCTTCACCATACTACCTACCGTTTTTCTAACTTTTCCCAATTTCCTTCCACTTTCTCCAAAAAAATTTCCAGTTTTCGCCACGAGGAAGTGCCCTCGAGCAGTTGAGGGGAGACGGGAGGGAGGAGAAAGGGGTGCGCCACCAACTAGGTCGTTTGTGGGAAACGACTAAGGAAAACTCTGGAAAATTTTTTAGGACTACATTCCCCCCCCTCCCATTCCAATCTCCAGCGTCAGCGTCTGCTCTGATTATAATGGAGGGGCTGATATTTCAGACACTGTTGGAGGCCGGGCTCCGCCCACACGATGGGCGTCGATTGTGCCTTCAGGGAACGTAACCTATCCCCATGTTCACATATTCTCATAGCCAAGCATAACTAGCGATGAACCTAACTGTTCGATGGCATATGAGAATAAGTACCGTAAAGGCGTACCAGGACGGTCTAGGGAGGGCGAGAAGGCTAGCAGCACTGCATCTGCAAACAGTTTCCTTGCACTCACTCCAATGTTTCGCGTGGGCTATGGGTTACAGCTCATGGGCGTGAGCTGCAGCTGCAAAACTGTTTCGCTTCAAACCTATTCTTTTATCCCTTCAATATTTATTTTCTATTTATGGTGCCTCCTAAGCATTTATAGAGAAGATCATTTATGGCGTACTGCAGGGACTCTCTAACGCCTTGGATCTGGACTCGTAACGTCCTGCTCATGATGTTCGCGTTGGTTGGCTTTGCAACTGGCACCTATACCAGTATGGTGCAGATCGTTGAAGCATTTGGGAAACCAGATGTTTAGCTAGAAGCCCCACAGCCACATTTCTAAGACGTCATATGGGTGCTGGTCATTTGTCAAGCCATTTGTTGGCGCAACGATATTTTGACCTGGGCGGCTGTCGCTGATGCGACTTCGTTCTGTTGGAACCATCTCTAGTCAGTTACGTCTGAATTTATTGATTTCATTGTTGAAGTATGCATTTAGAATGTTAATAAAGTTCTATGAGTGTTGAAAAGATAAAGGTGGAGGATACAAAGCTGTCGGGAAGTTCCCTCGAGCTTAAACTTGGCCACAGCGTGTGGCAATCGCCCAGGACAACTTGAACTCAATCTTTCTAACCGCGTCAGCTTTTCTATTTTACTCTGCTCCGTCTCG